ATTAGTTACCGTTTTTGCAGGCTTTGTTCAACCCATAGAAATCTACAGGGTGGTCGAGTGTACCAATTTAATCGAAATTAAACGACCTCATGCATTTATTTTTATGATATTTAGTATGTTATAAAAATATCCCTAGACTTTTCCGATGTATGTACCAACGATTGAGGTATTTATATATACTAATTTAAAAGCAGATTTCGTAAAGTCATGTTTTGAATTTTCAATTTCAACTTATTGTAGAGTCATGAGATGAGAATTTTTTCATAACAGTTTTTTTGTATGATAGTGCTGCCAGGCGAAGTCATCAAAATTATAACAGCACGAAATCGTAAAAAGCGAACAGGCATAAAAAAAACATACAAAAACATATATGTCAAAGTAAAAGAACCACTAAAAGCATACAAACAACGAGAAGAACGTCTTGGACGTGTCTGGCTGCACTGTAAAACGTACGAGTAGGTTTGAGTAGCTTCTACTGGAGCCGTAATCCCGGATTCCAACAATCGGAGAAGTCCATTTGGAGAAGTGTAAAACAACAGCCTTTAGTTTCCTCAATGGTTTCTGGATATAGGATTTTGATCAGAAGTTGTAACGTTTAGTGCATTAAACCCTAGATTAAGACCTTGTACTTTGTTATATTTTCTATTAAAGCAACCATAGGAAGGAGTAGAAAGTTTCAGGACCTTGACACTCGTGATTTCTTCATCCATAGGCAGCTTATGTTCAACAAAGATCATTTAGTATTTTCATTCATTCATGTCAAGGTAGGGGATGCAAAACCCTATTAAAACTGTCAAGTGAACCGTATTTTATTGGCATTCATGAAGTGTCTTCTATCTCGGTGTAACTAAGTTGGTCTACAGTGACAAATGTTGAAAAGGAGTACAGTATTTCTGGAAATTTCTGTAGATGGCGTCGGAACGAGAGCTTTTAATTTGCTAACCCTTTTCAGCACTGAAAACTGAATTTCATCACTGAAAACTGAATGTCTATAAAAATTCAAGAACCGACCTGAGCCCACGCCGCTGCAAATCAAGAGCTAGTCATTTCAACTTGGCACATGTATCGCTTTCTTGATCTAGATCAA